CCTGCGTCTGGAACAGCTGACTTTTCAATGTAATAACATCGCTATCCTAACCTGGTGTAGAAGAACCAAATACTTACTAGGCAATTCGCTCAATCATGTAGACCTATATATTTAATGTTAATATTTGATATATGAATTAACGCTACAATTACCCAACAATTGTTCTTTATCTATTGGTCACAGGGAAGAACAGTGTGCACTTACATTTGAATGTACTAATCTTGTGTTTATTTTAGGATGAACTTAATGAAATTGCTCTGACATGGAATAACCACCGCGTCCGTCAAGTGAATAATTCAAGATCCCCCCATGGACGTCCTTCCATTTTGTACAGTGTTCCTCACCTGTATGGGGGTCGAGATTATTTACACCCTGTACCTCTGGGGAAAGTGTCACTCTACCTTGAAGAATGCTCCTTCAAAGACTTCCCATGTGATGAAGATGTCTTCCAAATTTGTGTGGACTTAATGTCAGAGCATAATTTAAATTTCTCAAATGATGTGTATGACACACTTGATACCTATATTTGTTTAAGAGAGCTCATCTATGCTGAGTTACAGCAGTAAAACTTGTAGTGTACTTAAGCATTGACCTACAATTAAATGTGGTACATTCATGGTATATTCTTTTTTCTATGCACATAATCTGAATTTGTAGAAAATATACAATTTAGAATAACACTTAAATCAGATGAGAGCAAATCCAAACAGAAGTACTATGTTTTATTCATAGTTTTCCAGTTTATTTGAAATTGCATAGCCATATCTTAACAAGATAGCTTTGTGAACTGGATGAATACAAATCTGGTTAAGTGACATTCAAATGGACAACAAAATGTGGGTCACTAATACTCAAAATTTTATGTGCTAACAGCAAGTCCAACTGCTTATTTGAATTGTTTCACCCTTACAAAAGGTACTGCTTCAAGTGAACTGTTTCTGAACCAACATTCAAAATAATGAAAAGTAAAAGAATGAAGTTTTTAAAAAGCAACATTACATTAAAACACAATCAAATAGTTGAAACATCTTTTTACGATCTTTTGATAACTGCAAAACAGAACAGACCGTTTTTAGGGTTATAGGAGACAAACTATGCAATGTCCATAACCCAGATATTGCTCTCCAATACACAGTTCATTTCATAGCGAAAATCAGGGTAACTGTCATAAGCAACTGACAGCTCTAAATAACAACCACAGGTATGGGCAACAGGTCTCCTCTGAAAGCCTTTGATCTCTGTAAATGACACAGTAATATTCTTTCCAGTGAACACATCAGACCCTGTGCAAAACCTGAGAAAACTGGACAGACGCACTGGATCACATTCACGAAGATAAGCACTCACATATTTCATAATTTGTTTTTCTGTGGCTTTTGGGTCTGTTGGGTAAGTCAGGGAATTTATGATTTTGCGTGAGGTTGGCAGTAAGGTATCATAGGCAGCTGAAATGCCCTTCAGCTCTGACTTCATACCGTGAAGTACATTTTTCCACTGCTCTATTATAAAAGCTGGCTCTTGAATTAGTTTTTGGTAAGCAAGTTCGAGTAATATTTGTTGTATGTTGTCTTCTGTTGGTTGCCTGCGGCAGTTATGCATGTCAAGAACTTCCACCAATTCCTCCAAATCGACATTTGCAAAATCTGAACAGCATGACGTGAGATTGACAGGCGGATCGGTGCAGCGTGCGCAGTGATGCGGTCGCTGTATCGGACTGTTGTGGTAAAGAAGGAGCTGAGCCGAAAGGCAAAGCTCTCGATTTACCGGTCAATCTTCGTTCCCTCCCTCACCTATGGTCATGAGCTTTGGGTAATGACCGAAAGAACGAGATCGCGGATACAAGCGGTCGAAATGAGCTTCCTCCGCAGAGTGGCTGGGCGCTCCCTTAGAGATAGGGTGAGGAGCTCAGTCACACGGGAGGAGCTCGGAGTAGAGCCGCTGCTTCTCCACGTCGAGAGGAACCAGTTGAGGTGGCTCGGGCATCTGTTCCGGATGCCTCCTGGACGCCTCCCTGGGGAGGTGTTCCGGGCACGTCCCACCGGGAGGAGGCCCCGCGGAAGACCTAGGACACGCTGGAGGGACTATGTCTCTCAGCTGGCCTGGGAACGCCTTGGGGTCCCCCCGGACGAGCTGGAGGAAGTGTGTGTGGATAGGGAAGTCTGGGCGTCTCTGCTTAGACTGCTGCCCCCGCGACCCGGCAACGGATAAAGCGGAAGAAAATGGATGGATGGATGAACAGCATGACTGAAACATCACTCGCTCTGACTGCGGCAAGTACTTTAAAAATGTGTTCAACAGATCGCTCTGAACGACACCAAGGATGGCTTGCTCAAGAATAACAGGAGCAAGTCTGACAGGAAGGTACTTCTCTTTTTTCCAGCCAAAAGCAAGGATCCGACCAACACTCTCCCATTCCTCGTTACGAAAGTCATGGCGTATGAATGGCACTTTGAAGTCAGTCCCCATGGTACACTGCTCATAGAAGTCATTCCAAAATTCTGACAACACATCCCTTAAAACACCACCATCATCAAATGCTTTTTCTAGTTTCCCATCTGGTAGAATAACTTTAAAGCGAATGTCTTTATTAATGACATCTTCATCAGCAAACACTTGAATTAGCTCTTTTAGAACCTGGCCTCGATGCACCGCAACAATAAATTTCACACTTTCAGGAATGTTCAGAACAGAGGGCAAGGATTCATCCTCATTTAGGGGTAAAGTATCATCAAGATGAACTTGGTGTTCAGTTTCTAAAGAGCCATCAGTGCGAAAAGTGACAATACCACTGTCCTCAAAGTCAATCAGATTAACTGTTTGTTCTTGTTCACCAGCATTTTCCTCTCTGCTATCAACATAGATTACGTCAGAGGTACTTGTTGGTTGTGGCTGCAGCTCGGCATGAATGATCATCTCAGAACCTGTGCTTTGGTCCTCAAGATCCATGCCTGTTTGGGTCTGCTTCTTTTTGGTTTTCAAGTAAAACAGGCAATTTGGTTCTTTCATACAGGTCTTCAACTGTAACATCATCAGGCAAAGTATGTTCCTGAAAATCTGTTAAATCAGTTTCAAAATCGGAAATATTCCCTTCTGCATTTTCACCCTCAGGGAAAAACAGCTGTAGTGCCTTTTCTATTAAGTCTTTCTTTTTGCTCATTTTGGGCACACTCTCCTTTCGTGTTCCACCTCCCTTTTTTGTACGTATCTGTACAAATGATTGCTCTTTCTCTCTATAATTTAGCCAACCTAGCTCAATTTTTCTGCTTTCTTTTCTATTGTTGCTTCGACCTTGCTGCTGTTTTGTATCCATTTTCTTTTATGTTCTTCTTCATCTTTCCTTTGAGTCTCTCAAAAAGTTTGGACCTGCGACTACTGGGATCTTGTTCTTGACGACGACAGTAGCCAAACACAGCAACATGATCGCCATATGATGGTAGATACTGTTGAAGTTCTTCATCAGACATGAGCTTTATTGCACTCTGGTCAATCTAGAATAAAACAGAAAAGAATATGCATTTCTCTTTCAGGTAATGTTTGATTGATTTGTATTATAATAGAATATTTTTCCAACCTTCTCTTGCTCCATTTGGAGTATTGTCTCTTCAGACACATGTCTTGATCTTAAAAAATCGCAGAGCTCTTCCATCTCTTGGTCTTTCCACACTTATAGTGGAAAATTGGTAGAATGAAAGTATACGCTTACTGGAACACAAAATCCAAATATATATTATTTTGCTAGACGTTTGTCCAGTAATGGAAACTTGCAAACATATTTAAAAATAGCCAATTTACATCTGGAACAAAAGCCCAATATATAAATAATACAATAGATACTATTAATCCATAAGATAAATCACTAGGATTGTTTGTAAATATGTAGTAAGGTAGTGTGGGTAAACAAACTTCCTCCGACTTGAAATCGGATACCTGTACAAACACCCCACGTACGTTCCCACCTTCCCATAAATTATAACACAGTGGCACCAAGTGGATTAACTATATAACTGCAAGTAAAACAGCTCATGGTTCACACATAAAGGCTGGGGACAAGCTGTTCATTTGTTGTTGTTATTCTAAAATAAAGTGTACATGAAATGAATATAGACGTACTGCGCTGTTAGCTAGCGTTACTTTTACAAATGATAGCTCCGCAAATGTAAACACGGATATATGATGTTTTTATGCATTAGTCATCTTAAATATTAAATCCCACACATGAACTACAACAACTTAGAAATGTACTGACCTGAAAGCTGCAACACAACCTGCTAACTTGCAGGCAAAGGATGCCCAGAGACCATTCCGTACGCGGCAACAACTGCACATGCGCAGTTGAAAACTCGTAATTTTGACTTTTAAAGTCGTAATTTTGACTTTTAAAAGTCGAAATTTTGACTATTAAAAGTCAAAATTTTGACTTTCTGTAGGCTTTTTTTTTTTTTTTTTACATGGCGGAAACGGGCTTCCATAAAAAAGAGACAATAGAAAAGACAAACTATATTTGTAAAAATTAAAAAAAATATTTGAGGTCATGTTGACTATTTCTCATTGGAACAAGCGTCTGGTGTCTTGAGTCTCTGGTCTCTCTCTCTCTCTCTCTCTCCGGTATCTTTCTTGAGTCTCTGTGGTGTCTCTCTTGTCTCTGGTTTCTCTCTGGTCTCTCTCTCTGGCCTCAAAGATTTAGACAGAATACTGTCGTATTGACCAGGTAGGGTTTGCAAAAAAGACAGTCAGAGCATCTGTTCGCTACCTTACATTTGTTTTGGAACCACAGGGGTAATTCTCTGCTGCAGTGACTCGCTCGCTGTATCAGCCTTCTTAGGAAGCAGCGTCTGTAGTCAGAGCTCTTGATATACTGCCCTGTCTGTTCCTTTCCTCACCTGTGCTCACGAACTCCAAGGTCTATTATTAACCTCAGTTCTCTGTGCCAGGTCCTCGGGCGCCAGGCTTTCGGGCGCCAGGTCCTCGGGCGCCAGGTTGTGATGGGGTGAGGCGCCGTCATGAGGCACCACTGGCTGCTGCTGGGGGCCTGTGGGTGGGTGCTTCTCATCCTGATGTTTGTGACCAAGTTCATCAACTTCAGAGCCAACAACGGTTTGTATGGACGCTAGTGCCGCTGCTGTTGCTACTGCTGCTGCTACTGGTACTGCTGCTGCTACTACTTGGTGTCCCCCATTACAGGTTTTGCTTTGCTTTTAAAGACCTTATGCCGGGTTTGATTTATTTAGAAATATAGTTTTAATACCATTTTATATTCAGATTCAGATTATTTTTTGGAATGGAATAGGCAGAAGCTAAAGCTTATTGCGCCTATCCCAGAGTATTTACAAAACATAAACAGTAAAGCTGCCAATGTCTTATGCAAGTAGTTATACAATTTTTGTTTTTAAGATCGTCACAAAGAAGAAAGAAAAACAATCTATCATCTTAAGTTTGCATCCTTAGCATCCATTCTCAATGTATTTTTTTATAATTGATTTCTTCAAAAGAATTTTAAATTGAATTAAGGTTTTACAGTCTTTTAGCTCTTGGTCCAACTCACTCCACACATTAATCCCAACAAAAGAAAGACAATGCTGCTTTGCACTCGTTCTCACATATGTTTTTTGAAACATTTCTTCCTTTCGGAAATTGTAAACGCAGTCTCGTTTTTGGAACAATCCCTGGATATGCACAGGTAACTTGTTGTAGCTTATGTTATACATAAATTGTGCTGTTTTAAACTCAACCAAATCCTTCAATTTTAGTGCTTTTAGTTTGATGAAAAGCTCATTTGTATGTGCCCTGTAAGCCACTTTATTCACAATGCGGATCGCTCTTTTTTGGATGATACTTATTGGATTAAGATTGGTTTTGTAAGTGTTTCCCCAAACTTCTAGGCCATAGGTCATGTACGGGAGAACCAGGGAACAGTATAACATATATAAGTTGTTTTCATTTAAGAGTTCTTTAACTTTAGATATTATTGCAAGAGATTTACATAGCTTTGCCTTGATGTAGTTTATATGGGGCTTCCAGCTAAGCTTATTTTGTAAAAGTACTCCAAGAAATTTTATTTCATTCACTCGTTCTATCTCAGTATCATTTATTCTTAAATTTCTACACACATTAATGGCACGATTTCCAAAAACTATAAATTTGGTTTTATTTAAATTAAGGGTTAACTTATTAGAATCAAACCACTTCTTTAACAATAATAATTCTTTCTCTACTATATCTATCAATGCTTCTAAATTCTTACCACAACTAAGCATGTTGGTGTCATCAGCGAATAAAATAAGGTTTAATGTTTTTGAAACTAAACACAGATCGTTAATATACATAAGAAACAAAAACGGACCCAACACTGACCCCTGTGGCAGCCCGCAGGAAACTGTCAGCAGCTGGGAATCAGTGCCATTGGTGTGGACATACTGGGATCTGTTCTTCAAATAAGTCTGAAGCCAAGAAAAAGCCACTCCTCTAATCCCATATCTGTACAGTTTTTGAAGTAGCAATTCATGATTCACTGTATCAAAAGCTTTGGTTAGGTCTAGGAAAACACCAACAGCATATTGTTTATCGGCTATAGCATTTGATATTTTTTCTACAAGGTCCACTAATGCTAAGGTAGTGGTCCTATCGGGTCTAAAACCATACTGCTGTTCACAAATAATATTTTGCTTATCTACATAACTGAATAATCTTTTATGGAAGATCTTCTCCAGGATCTTGGAAAACTGTGACAAAATGGAAATAGGTCTATAATTAGTGAATTTCTGTTTATCACCAGCCTTGTGAATAGGAATCACTTTCGCAGTCTTCATTCCTTCTGGAAAAACCCCCGATTGTAAAGAAAGATTAAAAATGTAAGCGATTGGTTTTACAACACATTCAATAGTGTCTTTTAATACTGACATGTCTAGTCCATTCCAGTCAGCTGACATCTTAGTCTTGCAGTTTTTGACAACTGAAATTATTTCATTTTCATCAGTGGGTTGAATAAATATAGTTTTATTAGTGGTTGGTATTTTGCTTAAAGCATCAACTTGATTAGTGTTGACTATTTCTTTAGCTAATTTAGGGCCAATATTAGTGAAATATTGATTAAACTGGTTTGCGATTTCATCGGGTTGATTGATCAAAGTTCTATCGTTTATTAGAAATTCAGTTGGAATGTCAGCATTTTGATTTCCCTTTTTGATTAGTTTGTTTAAAACACTCCAAGTATTTTTTATGTTACTTTTATTCTTCTCCAAAAGAGCACCATAATAGTTAATTTTACTTGATCTTATAATACTAGTTAATCTGTTCTTATATTGTTTGTAAGTACATTCAGCCTCTCTAGTCTTCTTTCGCAAGAAGTCTTTGTACAGTTTATTCTTCCTCTTACATGCTTTTTGAATTCCCCTCGTAAACCAGGGCTTTTCTGTAAATCTATGGTTTATAACTTTATTAACTAGAGGGCAGTGTTTTTCATACAAGGTAATAAAGATTTTGATAAATGCATCATATGCAGTATTTACATCTTCTACATAAACATTATCCCAACTTTGTTCTGTTAGTTCATCCTTGAGTCTGGAAATAGCCTCTTGAGATTTTAACCTTTTTACTATGATTTTTTTGTTTTCTTTTACTGATTTGGAAACTCTCTTTGTTACTGTAAAAACTGGTAGATGGTCAGATATATCATTAATTAAAACTCCACTTGTTATTTCACTTTCTAAAACATTAGTGAATATGTTGTCAATCAGGGTTGCACTGGATTTTGTTATTCGAGTAGGTCTTGTTATAGATGGATACAAGCATAAGCTGTACATGGAATGAATAAATTCTGTAACTGTGTTTTGTTTTTGAGGATTGAGCAGGTCAATATTAAAATCTCCACAGACAAAGACCATTTTATTGCTTATATCCTCATACAGATCAATCATTATTTCCTGAAACTTTTCAATACAAGACCCTGGTTTTCGATACACACAGCTTATTATGGCATTTTTTGATTTTTCAATCTCAATTTCCACTGTAACACATTCCATGATGTTATCCAGAATTAAACACTTACTACCGACGAGTTTACTTCTCAAATTCTGATCAATATACAATGCAACTCCTCCGCCTTTTTGACAATTTCTACTTTTGTAGAATGCATTATATCCTTCTATTTTGAACAAACAAGATTGCTCTTCGCAGCCAAGCCATGTCTCTGAAATAGCTATTTATTTTATTATTATATATAATAATTTATTTTTTGTTTGTTCCAGACAGTCTAAGATCTTGGAAAAATTTGAATTAAGACTCCTGCAGTTGAAATGTATTATGGACAATGAATCACTTAGAGTCATTTGGGCCTCAAAATGGTCTTCAGTAAAGTATTCACAACTGTTCAGTATTTTTGTATAAAAATTGTTCTCTGGATCAAGATCATTTTGCATATCTTGTGGTTTATACTCTGTATAATCAAACGTTTTAAATTGCAGATTTTCATAATCAGAATAACCAGAATCTGCTCTTACTGCGTTTGAAGTTGAGGTGGGTCCATCTAGTTGTGTTGTAAATCCAATTTGTTGTCTTTCATTGCATTCCCTTTCTTTCAATCTGGGTAATCCATGGCAATATTCAGTCATTTATATTGGTCCAGCTCTGTTATATCCTTAACAGTGATCACTTTAGCTTCTTCTGGATGTCCGTTCAGCTTGATCAGAACTCTGCAGTTTCTTGTCCAGGTGTCTTGAATCTTCTTTTCTTTCCTCAGAATCCTTGCTTCTCTTGCAATTGTAGCATTTCTCTTAGTTAGGTGCTCATTCACATAAACACCTGTGCCCTTTAATTTTCTGCCATTCCTAAGCACCTCCATTTTGTGCTTCCTATTGTCAAAGCGAATCAGGATATTTGACGTTTTGCGGTCTCTCTGGGGCAAAGTATGGCAAGCAACAATGTTCTTACTGTCTATTGCAATGCCATTGCTGTCAAAGAACTTGATTACCTGTTGTTCAAGCGTTGATAGTTCAGGACTTGAAGCAGGATTTAGAAGATTTTCCTCTCCCCCACCACGGGCTGCTGCCTGTGCATAAGATCGTTTTATTTCAAGCCCTGATATCAACAGGTCGTCCATCCTTGAGTACTGCTCTAAGTCATCAATTCTTGTGCCTCTTTTTTCAGTTGTTTAATTTCCTCCAGCAATTCCTTTAGGCCTCTTTGTTCGGTTGCCACTTGAGTTATTTCCTGTGACATGAAGCCCAGAGCCTTCTTAATTTCTTCAATGTCTTCAGCCAGTTTCTTATTAGCCATTGCATCAATGAAGATTGTACAGGTAGGTATGCTAGCAGGGTTGGGATTTCTTCAGTGTCTGCTGTTGAGCACAAATGTCCAAGATATGCCACAGATATTAGAAGAGAACAACTAAAGGTTTCAAAATCAGTTGTTGTTTTTTTTGTCTGATCCCCCCCAAATCGAAATAACCCCATAGCAACGCCCCTAGAGACGAAAAAAACTTCACAGCCCTTGGTGACGTCAGAGCGGGTACGTTTCATCGCTGTAAGTTGTTTACAATTTGGTATTCGTTCTTTTTTCGCGGATATTCAAGATGACAAGGCCGTGTACAGCGAGTATGAAATTACTACTAGATTGCAACTTTCGTTGGCACTGAGATAGTCCAGAGGTTGTGTCGATGGTCTGCCAATTCAGATACTGGGGTTCAAATCCCACCTCAGACACATTTTCACTCTCAAAACGGCAATTGATGTGTAGTGAGCAATTGTCACCTGTAGAGGGCAGTATTGTGTTGGGCATCAGTGGAGAGAAGAGAGAAAAGGCAGTCCTGTGGCATAGATCCATGGTTTTCAATGCATGGGCGTAACCCGCTATGACGTCACACACAGGTTAGAGCATAGACAACTTAAATTCATGAAAAACACGTTCTTTTTTATAAAATATAGGATTTTTTTTGCCGGAATCTATTTCAGATTGACATTGTCATGCAATTTTGATAGCCACAAATTTTTTTTTTAAACCCGGCATAAGGTCTTTAAAAACAAAGTCCGCTTACCGGCAGATAAGTGTCGGTCTTTTAAGCATATGTACATTGCCTACAACGGTGGCATTGAACTTCGCCAGACTTCATAAACAAACACACTATGGTCAGTTAATCCAAAACAATGCTTCTCGAAACTCAAAATTAACACGGGTGGTGAAGACGAGGCTCTTTTCCCTCCAGAGCTTGATGATGAAGCCCATAATACACTGAGGTTCTCCTGCCAGACTGTTTCTAATCCTTAAAGAAGCTATACCCGATTTTTGTTATGAGTTCTTAAAAATGCTTATTACTACATACAAGTTGTATTATAATCCGTAATTTAATTGAAAACTTGAGCTCATTGATTCAGCTGTGTATGAACTCAGGCCGTAAAAAGTGCTGAGTAGAGACTTAGCGAGACGCCAGCTCTCCTCCAATCACAGAACAAGGCTGCGCCCTCTAGCCTCTACAGCGCTGCTAAACACAGTAGCATGTTAGCAGAATTGGCTTTAACTTCTCTTGCTGTAACTGCATACACAGCAAAACGGCCCAAAGTGAGGAAGAAAATAGAAAACTAAAGCAAAAAAAAAATTGATCAAGAAACCAAGCCTGGGTGAAAATAGCTAGATCGCATCGTATCCTCTGGAGAGACTTGTCTATGGGAGAGACCTGCGGGTGCGGACCGCCTCGGACTAAATTCGGACGCGAAACTAGCGGTAATCTTTCAGTTATATATTTTGTTCGCAGTGCGTTGCTTATGCAACATTTCATCAGTGATTGTTGTACAGCTTACAAGAAGTGGCGCTCATGCTAATGTTTGCATATGTATCAGATCGCAAATAAAACTAGATGGCTCCGTGGGATGAGAGCGTAGGGGAAATGAGAAGCCTGTGAGTGAGTTGAGGGGCAGTGCTAAACATTCAAACCTTGCAGAAACGGGTATAGCTCCTGTAAATTGAATACAAGTCTGATTACATCAAAAACAATTTAAGGCAAAACTAAAAATGTAATCAAACACAGATAGTTCAACATGGGGAAAATGATATATTACAGGCCTTGACATTAAGCTTTGTCAGCCACACATGGGGGAGACGCGGGGGAAGGTTGTGTCTGTGCGTCCATGGTCCGCGCTCGGTACCACGTTAAGGCCTGTGTACACTCGCGCGGTGCTGCTTACGGTTGCGGTTACGTTGGACCTACGTAACCACAGTTGGTGGTTCACTTGCGCGTTCCTCCTTATGGAGTTTAGAAGAGAATGTTGTAATCCCATGTGTTTCTACTGTAGGTTTATGTGACGGTTCTATGGACTCATTGTTTCAACTCATTTAACTGTGATGCTGTGAATAAAGACACAGTTCTTGTTGGAAACATAGTTATTATTAAATTGTATTCAGCACAAACAGCAAAACAATAAGTGGTAAATATCTGAGACGAACATGAACTATTTACAAGTGCAGGAGGAACGCAACAGACGCGATGAGCTACGAGTGCAGATTCAAACAAAGTGCAAAAAAAACCACTGCACAGTTTGTAAGTTATATATAAGTTAGATATGCAACAGAACTCTCATCCACAGTCTCCGCGTATATCAAGCTCTGAGCCACGAGCCCAAACTTGCTTTTCCTTCGGTTCCTTCGAAGCACAAAGCAGTCTTCTCCAAAGTGCCTCGTCCATTTTCCTTGCAGCCGCTTCCCAGAAAGTAATCACACACGGACCAATCACAGCGGAGCTTCTCTGCGGCGACCCTTAGGCCTGGACTCCACCGGGCGCGCCTCCGTTGACGCGCGTTGGCTGCTGTCCGTCAGCCGTCCGTAAAACGGACTAGTGGTCAAACTGGCTGCAGCAGCGCGCAACTCTGGCTGTGCGTTTATCAGCCTGCTTTGTTTTTGTAGGAGACATGTTTGGGCATTGTGTGAATGAATGAATGTTTGGCTGATGGAGGAGTTATGTATTGTCGGCGTGCATGTGTGCGTGTGCGTGAGAGCGCCCGTGTGTGTGTGTGTGTGTGTGTGTGGTGGGAGGCGTGTGCGTGCATGTGTGTTTGGGTCTGTGACTGCAGCGTTTATTATGAATCATGATCCAGCCTCTTCGTTTGTTTTCTACGTATTCAGCGCGTCATACACTTTTATCGGACCCAACTCTCCTCTCCGCGGCTTTAGGCAACAGGCAGCCGCTATAGTTTTAAATAGAAGAAGCGGTGTGTGATTTGTATGAGCTGTGGCTATGATCAGTGCAAAGCACGGCATATTGAAGCATTGAGGACGTCGCGATGGATGAGGCAAAACTTATTGAAAGCAATTGGAAAAAGGGGAGAGAGAAAAGAGAAAAGAACTCCAACATATCCAGTGATGTGAGATCTGTCTCTCATAAGTGCATTTCTGTGTGTGTGTGTGAGAGTGAGTGTGTGTGTGTGTGTGTGTGGGAGCGCGCGCGCGGCGGTGAGGAGAGAGCGCCTCGCAGGTAGACGGGACAGAGCGAGAGAAAAAAGAGCGAGGTGTATGTAAAGATTAGCGTATTAACATTACGCGAAAAATAAATGGTAGATTTACGATCAGGAAACAATTATTTAAATTAATACATGAAAAACATTACACACGTTTGTTAATAATCATTGTCATTAACAAATATTTCTAACCAAGGACTACAGCATATATCAATACATGTAAATGTACATTTAAATATATTATTCCATTGTATTTTCAATGGAAAACGGACCCGACACGCGTCGACGGACGGAACAAATAGGATTGTTTCTATTTCGTCCGTCCGCGTCCGTTGCACCCTCCAATGACGGAATACGTCCGACGTGCGTTGGACGGACGCATGCGGAGGCAGTGGAGCCACTTCCATTCATCCTCATGGAGATAACGGAGACGGAGATGAAACGGACATGTTTGGACGGATCCGTCGTCCGTTTTACGCGCCCGGTGGAGTCGGGGCCTTAGACATTTTCGAGGCCTTGCGGTGATCCACGCGTTGCGCAAGTGACGTCACGTCACCACCATAAGCTCCGTGCCGCGCGACTATACACTAGTCTTTACAGTTGTACGTGTGCTGAGCTGTTGTCAAAGCGGCCGCAGCTGCCCCGGGTCAGAATGGAGGATGTGAAATCCCGTTCGAATACTGTACGTACAGCAAACAACAGAAAGTGCCCGTAGTCACACATTTCACAGAAATGACATTTTCAGCTGAACACGCTTAAAATTCTCATCCCTGGTTTATCCTGATGCATTTCATTGGTCCATAAAATTGACCAATGAAGAGAATTGGTCAAGATAAAAAGATAACAGAGTCCGCTCCCAGCTCTGGAGAAAGAAATGCCGGAATGCGTTCCTGGCCTGAATGGGTTAAAATAATGCTACTGTGAGCTAAATATCACTTGCCTGATCTGGCAACTTGCTATGACAGCACACTTGTCCCTAATCTTTAGCTGGAGGAGCAGTTAGTTTAGGGCCATGTTTTTGGTTCTTTATGCAGCACTAGGCCTGATATTAGCATGGATGGATCTAAACACAACCTCACGTCTTTTAGCTGAATATGTCTGTAGGGATTACAGGACTGTCGCTCTGTGTCCAGGGTACGGAGAAAGGGTGGGGTCTCAGAACTGGACTGAGTCTGGGACCAGGGCTGTGCGAGTCCAGAATGCAGAGAACAGGACTGGAGCTGTGCCGGCCTCCAGCTTCCCCTCTGGCCCCTCTGCTCCCTGGGATGGCGTGATCCATCAGAGGAACAGTCTTCTCAAAGCCGTGTGTCGGGACCCCGCCCTCCACAACCTCACGCACAGAGCCGTGACCCGGTTCGTCCTGGACCGGATCTTTGTGAGCGACAAACATAAGCTGCTCTTCTGCCAGACGCCAAAAGTGGGAAACACGCAGTGGAAGAAGGTCCTGATCGTGCTCAATGGTACGGACTGACGGCGCGAGACTGACGGCGAGACTGACGGCGAGACTGACGGCGAGACTGACGACGGCGAGACTGACGGCGAGACTGACGGCGAGACTGACGCCGAGACTGACGCCGAGACTGACGCCGAGACTGACGCCGAGACTGACGCCGAGACTGACGCCGAGACTGACGCCGAGACTGACGCCGAGACTGACGCCGAGACTGACGCCGAGACTGACGCCGAGACTGACGCCGAGACTGACGCCGAGACTGTATGTTTGTAGGAGCGTTCCCCAGTGTGGAGGAGATCCCTGAAAACATTGTCCACAATCATGAGAAGAACGGACTGCCAAGACTGTCCTCCTACAGCCCCCAAGAGGTCACTGAGAGGTACTGCAGCCTATTTCTGCTACTACTACTACTGCTGCTGCCTGATACTGCTGCTGCTACTGCTGCTGCTGCCTGATACTGCTACTACTACTACTACTACTACTACTACTACTGCTCTTTCTCCCTCTCCTTGCAGACTGGGCAGTTACTTTAAGTTCCTGATTGTTCGGGATCCGTTTGAACGCCTCATCTCAGCGTTCAAAGACAAGTTTGTATTGAACCCACGCTTCGAGCCGTGGTACAAGACGGACATTGCTCCAGCCATCATCCGCAAGTACAGACGCCTGCACCGAGACCAGGATCAGGACCTGGTCCAGGACCAGGACCGGCCTAAGGTGAGACTGCACAGAGATGAACTAGTATGGCAGGAGTAAAGCAGGAGTAAAGCAGGTCTTCTAAAGCAGGTCTTCTAAAGCAGGTCTTCTAAAGCAGGTCTTCTAAAGCAGGTCTTCTAAAGCAGGTCTTCTAAAGCAGGTCTTCTAAAGCAGGTCTTCTAAAGCAGGTCTTCTAAAGCAGGACTAGAGCAGGACTAATGGGGCTTTCAGACCGCCAACGCTGAAACGCGGAAGCCCCGCTCACCAGACGCACATTCTCTAGTTTTCAGACGCAGAGGACTTCACACCAGAACGTCCTGACGCGAGCCGGAAGTACCGGAAGTAGCCGGCCGGCTCTAATGCTAACAGAGCTATGCTAGCGGCTTCTTGTGTACAGATCTTCTCCAATATTCAGCTTTGCAGCGTGTCTTTGCTCACAGACATTCCACGGGCTTTATATAACAGTAGTATGTGTTCACGGAGGTGCGCCATACGTGTTTTCATATTATTAAACGGAATTTCCGCATCGGCGAACACACTCGAAGCAGTTGCATAAGGTCACGGGAACATGACAACGCATATTTTCACAAGCACAACGCATATTTTTACAAGCACAGAGTCCCCCATTGTCAACCCTGGTTTGAGTTCTGGTGAAGTCTGGTGTGGGTCCTGTTTTGGCTGTTTACGAGTATTTTCAGTCTGCTCGCTCAGTCCGCTAATGTCCCCGTGACCACTTTGCTGCTCTCTGATTGGTTGTCGCACGAACGTCCCAAGGAACCCTAACCCATCTCCTGTGGGCGTTGATTTTTCGCTCCTGCTCCTCCCTTTTCACTTTCCCGCCAAGTCCGTGCGTCATTATTTAACAGTCCGTTCGTGCGTGCCGAGAGGTCCGTGCGTTGTGACGGTTGAACGCGCGCCACCATAGACTTTGCATTGAAACCCGACGCAACGCATGATCCGGTCTGAAAGCACCATAAAGCAGGACAAAAGCAGGACAAAAGCAGGACAAAAGCAGGACAAAAGCAGGACAAAAGCAGCAATGGTGTAGGTTTGGTTCCAATCTTGGTGGGGACATTCACTACGACCTGAGTCTACACCCATTGACACGGGGTCCAGAGTTTCTCCCCCAGAATTTGTTGTGTAATCACACACTATATTTGCAATAGTGTGTTGCCTTCTATACTAAACTCAGCTGTAGACTGAATGAGAAGCAGTTAAGGATTTTTTCTAATAGTTAAAACAAAATCAATTGGATCAGAGCTTCTGAGTTTTGTGTTGCGTTCATTCTATACTGACTTAAACCTAATCCAAATCTACATAATAGCCCTCACCTGAGGCTCTAACAGTTCAGGAACTGCTCTCGATACTTGAAATAAATCATGCTCTGATCTTTCAATTTCCTATAATAAATAAAAACAGAGGAGAAAATATTGAATTAGAATCTACAGTGAGTAGCTCACTACATTGTTTGACATATACGATCAATCTCTAAAAACAATTCATAGTCCCATGCATACCTACAAAATTCCAACCTCACCTGATGCACTGAAGGGCCTGTTGCTTCTACCTCAACATTCCCTATATTGTTCTCTCTTGTTGGTTGAGTTTCCTATGTATGTTAACAGAAGATTAATCATCACAATTCATAATTTGCTATCACTTGTGCTTTCTCTTACTTACTTTCCAACTGTTAAAAAAGCTCCTGATATCTTTTATCTTTTTTTGTGGAGGTGGCATTTTTTCTAAATTATATAAGAAGGTATAGACAATCAAAAACAGACATTCATATACATGAACTGCAGAATCATTTATAAAACTTGGCCAATGTCAAAAGTTACATAGTATTTCTCAATACAATGAGTTAACAAGAGTTTGGCAATAAGTAACAGTGTGGATTTTTCTATATTTTCTTTTTTATTTATTCCACTCACAACCCAAAAAGCCAAGTAATGACTCACAGGGCTCTTAAGTATGCAAAATAAAAACTTAAATGACCTGTTGTGGTGTGTTTTGCGCACAACCAGCATGCATCGTTAACGCAATGGAAAATTTAGGTATCCGAGCTTTAATTTCGGGAGCGCTGGTTGCGCTTTGGGAAGAGTCAGGGGAGAGACATGTCAGAGACACAGGGGAGAAACGGGGGAGATACGAGGGAGACCCGCACTTGCAACATGGTTCTGTCTGCATATGGTCCGAGCTCGGTACCATGTTAGAGCTGTGCTTTCACTGAGCGCCGCGGCTGTCATTACAAAGCGGCAGCAGCTGCACCAGGACGTGCACATTCGAGTGCATCGCTTGAATGTGCTTAGAGCAAATAACAGCAAGTGCCCGCTGTCACACATTTCACAGAAATTACATTATCAGCAGATAAAGGTTGTAAATCGTGGATCCGTGGAATATTTTCATCCCTAGTTTATCCTGATTCACACAACACACCCACTTATACATTTTGGATAGTAAGAGCACAATAAGTATTTTCTCAGCCTTTCAACCAACCTGTTTCTTTATTGGAGCCAGTTCTGTTCTGTCTCTGTGCCGTGTGAGCTCCTCGGAACATTAAACAGTGCGCTGACAGATTAGAAATAACGTAAGTACTTTGAATGGTAATAGATCTACAGTACTTTCCTCTGATTACTCACGTGCTACAACGCTCAGGGAACGAAAAAAAACACTTGCTTCACGCTGGCTAACTTTTAAAAATTAAACAGTCGCTCAGTGCTTCAGTTTGGCGCTGAAGAAGACAGCCAATCACAGCAGAGAGAGGAACGGGTCACGTGCTGCTGCTGCTGCTGTTGCTCTGGAGGCGAGGAGGAGGCGCGACGTGTGCACAAACGGAAGACATGTGTCCCGGACCGTCCGGGTCACGGGACATCATGTCATTTTGGTGGGGACTTTTTAGTCCTCACCAAATATTGGTGGGGACATGTCCCCATGGTCCCCACGCAAACCTACGCCCTTGAAAAGCAGGACAAAAGCAGGACAAAAGCAGGACAAAAGCAGGACAAAAGCAGGACAAAAGCAGGACAAAAGCAGGACAAAAGCAGGACAAAAGCAGGACAAAAGCAGGACAAAAGCAGGACAAAAGCAGGACAAAAGCAGGACAAAAGCAGGACAAAAGCAGGACAAAAGCAGGACTAAAGCAGGACTAAAGCAGGACTAAAGCAGGACTAAAGCAGGACTAAAGCAGGACTAAAGCAGGACTAAAGCAGGACTAAAGCAGGACTAAAGCAGGACTAAAGCAGGACTAAAGCAGGACTAAAGCAGGACTAAAGCAGGACTAAAGCAGGACTAAAGCAGGACTAAAGCAGGACTAAAGCGGGACTAAAGCGGGACTAAAGCAGGTCTCTTTCTGCAGGAGGAGCGTAGCTCCGGTTTAACTTTTGAAGACTTTGTTCGTTACCTTGGCGACGGCGATGGAAGGCGGCGCCTGGACCGGCAGTTTGGCACTCACATCATCCACTGGCTGAGCTACACGGAGTTGTGCGCGCCCTGCGACATCCGGTAACCATGGAAACTGCGGAACCAGAGGGAGCAGTGTCTGCAGTCAGAGCTCTCTAACTCCCAAGAAACAGGGAGTTTTATAATGACAAACTAATTATAATAACGATATTAAGTAAAATTATTAGTAATACTTTATGAGAAACTGAGTGTGATGTGATAGTGACTACTGCTAAGGGACAGAAGGAAAAGCTTAGATAGATGAGGCGGAGCTACATGTTTTTGCCAGTTCCTGATACCAGCATGGATGGATCTAAACCTGGCTGCAGGTCTGTGAGGAGACAGTGAAATGTGTGTTCTTTGATCTCAGATATGACGTGATCGGACACCACGAGACGCTGGAGCAGGACGCCCCCCACATCCTGAGGGCCGCGGGGCTAGAGGGCCTGGTGCAGTACCCACACATCCCCCCCGGCATCACCCTCTACAACCGTACCAAGGTCCAGCTCTACTTCAACCACATCAAGCACCGCGACGCCCGCCGCCTCTACCAGCGCTACCAGGGCGACTTCTCCCTGTTCGGCTACACCCGGCCAGACTTCATTCTCGATTGAAGCATGTTCCGGCGCCCTCTGCTGCTCAAACAGTGCATAGCTGAGCAGAGTAGAAGGCCCTCTGCTGATAAAATAGTGCATTACACCCTGTTGTATCAGGCTGTTCTGACTGAGATGGGTTAGTTTTCATAGGGTGACAACGGAAGCGTTGTACTAATCAATTATCCAACAAAACACAATAATTTAATTCTAATTAGGTCAAAAATGCTCAAATATAAAACAATATTTTGGGTTAACATGTTTAGATGGTTCATATTGTTACTGCTTTAGAATTTAGGAGGAAAGCAGGAATCAAAGGCCACCAGAATGAAGCCAGCTGATGCTTAGTGATCGTGCGTCCATACCTCCATCTTCGCACGTCCATGCATCGGCGGTCTGAACACAGCTTGACATGTCCAAGGAGTCTTCAAGATCACATCCTGCCTTCATATCATTTAAAAATATCTTTTGTGAGAGAAATAGCCCTGTGAGTCACTATTGGACTATTTAGGCTGAGAGCTTAATGGACTGAGTAAGGGTGGAAAGGCAAGGGAAGTTTATTTGTAAAGCACAATTTGTACACAAGGCTGTAACACAGGGGAAACGGTATCCAGAACATTCAAAACACTAGAGGTGACAGAGTAAAACAGTTCATTTACAATAGAATATGATGCATTCTCAAAGTTTATCATTCCCATAAATAGTTCACCCGTATTCTCATTGATACATCTTCTTTGAACAGTTTCACTGTTTTTCACTGTTCTTTGAACAGTTTCACTAACAAACCACCAGTGGACTACTGGTGGTTTGTTAGTGAAACACAAAAAATACACCAAAATGATCCGAAAGAGCAACATCGACCACGTTTACATTTTAAATATTCACCCCCTTAGTAACTAACAGGTCTAGAGTGTGCCCTCTGCTGTGGGTGGGGCCACTCACGTGCTGTGTGGCAAGTAAAGAACTCAGCTCTTTTGCATTTCTGTCCTTAACATTATCCACATGAATATTAAAGTCACCTTAAATAACTAAACTATCAAAATCTGTGCATAGAGTATTGGAGGAGATTTAGTTCTAGTTTAAAAGACACAAATTCAAGTGACGAAAACTTCCCAAGAGGCGTTCTATGGGAGAGGCACAGCTGCCATAGCTAAAAATCGCAGCTGTGCCTCCACCCTTTTTGTTTTCCCGTATTTCAGACTCAAATTTGAACTTTGGCGGTGATGCTTCTATTAGAAATGCATTCTCTGTATTTTGGTCAAGCCATGTTTAAGCCATAAACATAAAATCAAGATTATAAGAACTAATACAAAAGACTTGTTGCAAAGAGATCTGACATTAAGCACACCTAGTTTCAAAGTTTCAGTGTCAGCGGTTTTGGTTCTTGCACAGAACTACAATTATATCTCACACCCACTTGGAATAGTCTTCATGGCTGATTGGATCATGCCTGCAGAGTGTTCTGGTAATTCTAGCAGTGAAGGCGAGGATGGAAAACAAATGGAATGGTCGTCCTCTCTTTTTCACTTCTCACTGTTCAGAGCCAGTTCCATAATGGTTTGAAAGTTACGTCCCTCAGTTTTAAGTGAAGGTAATGTGTGATTGCAGCAGGATTGTCCATTGATCCCAGACTTGTTCTGTAACTGTTTATTCGGGTGCTTTGATGACTTTGACAGCTCTCTGCACTAGGCTCTGTGGTTGTTTTCTGTGAGGACAGTGAAACCTAGTGGACAAATGCAGCAGGAGCCTGATGACTGAGTGGGCTGTGAGTAAAACACAAGGGACTGAAAACCTGCACTTTACGTTTGAGGAGACAGAAAGGAAGCTCCAGAGAGACTTCCAGAACCCTCTGAGAACCACGACCATAACTTGTTTGTGCTTTTCATACGTTTACGTTTGTGCCAGATGCTGAAAAACTGAAGGAAAAACATGATTATTTATTCAGTTTAGAACGCGTGTAATTTTCTGCCTGAATGAAATTAACTGTTTATTATTTAGAATTATTTGTTATGTTAGTTTTTTTACTTTTTTTTTCTAACAATGACTTCGCTGGAGTCAATCTGTTTTTATCTGAAAATATTAAACTCTGTTACATATTTATTTATATTAATTTTAATAAAAGACATAGAAGTAAAGTTATGGACTTCTTCAGTCATTAGTAGTGGAATATCTACAGTAAGCAGTAAGCAGTAAGCAGTAATTGTGATAATTCTGGTGGTAGTTTTGATTAATAATTAAAGTTCAGCTATGTAACGTTAGTCTCATAAGCTGATCCAACAGGAAGAGTCTTGTAAAAAGATGTTTATTTTTGTGTGAGAAACAGCCATGTGAGTCATTATTTGACTTTTTGGGGAAAAAGGTCCTTCTCTCTGACCTCTCTCTGGTCTCTCACTCTCTCGTTTTCACTTTTCTGTCTGAAAAAAGCTTTTGTGAGATTGATTGAGAGCCAGGAACCAAAGGGGACTTATTGGGGTTCAGACGTCAGCTTTAACAGGTGGAATAACAGGAGTGGTATATTTTAACTATGACTTTAGTCAAACAGAGCAGACTGGTTTGAGCAGGCAGACGCATCTGTGAAACACTGAAAACAATGTGTTGACCCAGTACGACTAGGGGTGTGACGATATATCAATATATCGCGATACTTTCTCCCGCGATTCGACTATCGATATGCATTTCCCAAGTATCAATATCGATTTTGAAAAAAAAAATGGTATCAATACTTAATATACGGCTACATTACGCATCTCCATTCCATTTATCATAAAATAAAGTGTATTTTTTCTTTTATTTATGCCATAAATTGGCATATTGTATATTTCTGACCAATATATTGATAATCGTCATATCGTGATCGTGAGCTTTGTATCGTGTATCGTATCGTGAGGTACCCTTAGGTTCCCAACCCTAAGTACGACAGTGGGAACGGTTGGCGTGTTGTTTGGACCTGCGTCGACTATTCAACTCAAGGGAGGTGTCAATATAAAAGGGCAAAAAGAAACGTACCACTTTCAAAAAGTCTTCTTACATCATGGCGTGAATATGCAGGACTTGAGAGACCAGGAGAGAGTAGGGCTGGGCAATAAATCGAATTTAGGCTATTAATCGTCTTTTGAAAAAAATCGAATTTGTGAAAAATGTGAAAATCGTGAAATCAAATGAAGGATATTGTGAGAGTTCCAGCAGCCCATGAATTATACTTGCAATATCAGCAGTCTGTACAAGACTTTTAAAATACGTATTGGGGAAACAAATTAAAAATAGTTTTGAAACTTCAATATTGAGCGGAAAGATCAAAAGATCAAGGGCAAATCTGTCTTCGGTGACTAATGAAAATCAATTTAAGATCAAAATTGTCTAAAGCTGGAAATAAAATCGAGATTTTACTTTTATGCCATATCGCCCAGCCCTGAGAGAGAAGACTGACTCTTTATTGAAGGGATAATGTTCAGAGACATTAAACTTAGAGAGACAGATGTTCTGCACCAGGATCCTCTAGACCAGTGATTCTCAAAGTTTGGTACACGTACCACTAGTCGTATGCAGGGCTCTCTAGTGGTACGCCAAAGAATCACTGAAATAAATACAAAAAAAGTTGTTTTTTTAACCAAGATTAAGATTAAGAACCTCTTTTTCAAGGGAGTCCTGGACAAAAGTTACATACAATTACACGATATGAAACAGTTTCATACAATTACAGATTATAAAAAGTCACATTTTCATATAATTACGGATTATAAAAAGTTATGTTGTCTCAAGTGCTCTCGATCTGGATCTAAAAGCATTCACTTCTTTTTGCAACACCTTCCACTTAGAAGGAGCAGCATAAACAAAAGCTTTTTTTTTCCCCAGTTCTAAATTCAACAAAAGATTATTTTCATTTTCATTATATGGAAAAAAAAAAAGTGCACCAGTGTTCAAACCTGGTGCACTTTCCCACTCCACAATATCATCCACAGGTGAGTCAAGGCTTTGCAGTTCGTATTGAATTGAAAATTTTAAATGAATAATTATTATTATTACAGTTAAGTTTTTCTCTCCTATATTTAAGTCTTACAGTTGAAACTGTAAAATGTTACAATGGCTGACAATATTAAATATACTTCTTTAGGAATGAAACTTCTGCCTTGTTTTTGATGAATACTTATGGGCTAGACACACGGGAGGCGACATCGCATCGCCTCCATTCATTTCAATGGGACGTGCGCGACATAGCGTCAATCGCTAGCGAGCCTCCTGCTCAGCGACGGGCGAAAAACGTGCGTGTGAAATCCTCCCGCTCGTGCATGTATCGTGCACGCGCAGGTCAGCGACGCGATCCCAGAAAGTTGAAATCGGCTCAACTTTTCGTCGCTGTCGTCAAGCCGCATCGCGCCCCGTCTGTCATGTTATCTGAGCGACAGCGTTGAGTTTCGCTGATCGCTCTCATTTGTCGCCTCCCGTGTGTCTAGCCCTTAAGACTCATGGGCTAGACACACGGGAGGCGACAAATGAGAGCGATCAGCGAAACTCAACGCTGTCGCTCAGATAACATGACAGACGGGGCGCGATGCGGCTTGACGACAGCGTCGAAAAGTTGAGCCGATTTCAACTTTCTGGGATCGCGTCGCTGACCTGCGCGTGCACGATACATGCACGAGCAGGAGGATTTCACACGCACGTTTTTCGCCCGTCGCTGAGCAGGAGGCTCGCTAGCGATTGACGCTATGTCGCGCACGTCCCATTGAAATGAATGGAGGCGATGCGATGTCGCCTCCCGTGTGTCTAGCCCATTACTACGCAACGCTACTGTGTAGTGTTGGTCATTTGTGGTGGTACTTGGAGAGGCAAGTATTTTCTGAGGTGGTACTTGGTGTAAAAAGTTTGAGAACCACTGTTCGAGACTATGCTTGTTCGATAATTGCTAACAGGACACTTTGAATTAAACATGATTCAATTCCAGCTTTGAAGCTTTCGCTCCATTTCAACAACAACAAAAAACACTATGTAGCTTTAATGTTGCATCTACTGTAGATTAAGAG